AAAATCGATTGTTTCTTCCTCGATAGAGAATGCCTTGTACGTCCAATGACGTTTTTTGACAGGTTGTTCAGGCTTGAGAATCCACTCGTAATTTTTAGAAGCGCAAGCGTAAATTTCATAAGCAAGCGTAATTTTCAGAGGCGCAAGCGTAATTTACGCTTGTGAAACGTACATTTGACGTACATTTTTACGAGTTATTTTTGACAGCGATCTTACTCCATACACAAGCAGCATAAACTAAAACAAGGACACAAAACAATGTCCGGCACAAGGGAAACAGAAAACCAATCAATACAAAAAAACAGGTGAGGCTGGCCTGCTCGAATCCATGACCGGAGGGGTTCAGCCTCTGAGGCCGCACACTCAACACATATGTAGAGCTAGGTGGGGAGCTGGGAAAGACACTAGGGACTTAGGACGAAGACAGAGGAGGGAACAGGATGGCCAGCGACACCTGCTGGCCAAATGGCGACAAAGCACTTAGGATGGGCACCAACCCTAACAGCCACAATGATTGTATGATTTTTCATTTATTAGCTATTTATTACTTATAACACTGTTCTGTCATTCTTTTCAGGTTCCTGTCTTTTTATGTTATATAACGTTTTAAGTGTTTTGCCTCAACTGAATTTACCCCATGCTGTGAATTTGATAAATGTATTTTCAGCAACAGAGGGGGTGTCACTAGAGCTCATTTAGGGGGCTTAAAATAGTTATTTAGCCATCCCCCCTCCAACCCCCAAATAAATGTACACTAATTAGTTGAAACTGTGTTTCATTTTCATGAAAACAGACCCCCCCCCCAATAAAGGTATAGCACCCTTTTCATAAATATCTAGTGATGCTCCTGTTGAGCAGGTAATGATTGTTTACTGTACATGTGATTGGCACTGTGCTAACATTTTGCCCACCTCATTCACAGTACACTTTCAGAAGATCATTCATCGGGATATAAAACCTTCCAACCTGCTTCTTGGGGACGATGGGCATGTGAAGATTGCAGATTTTGGGGTCAGTAATAAATTTGAGGGCAGTGATGCACAGCTGTCCAGCACAGCTGGGACACCAGCCTTCATGGCCCCAGAGATGCTGACTGACCATGTGCAGAACTTCAGCGGGAAGGTGCGAGCCACAAGGGTCTCTGATATGTTACTGCTAAAGCCACAATCATCACTCTTTCTTGCGCTGGTTGCATTAAAAATCCAGTTAAGCAGTAACACTTGAGCAGTACTGATTTAACTTAACCTGTCATATAGTACAAGTTACATTTGTACTGAAAATTCTACAGTTATACGGTAATGTTTATTAATCCCATACAAAGTGTATAGTGTTTCTTATAGGTTGTTATACTGTAGAACTTAATATTACATTAGATGGTTCATGACTACAAATTGTACACAATCTGAGAAAAAAATCAAATCCTAAATAATGGTATGTAAGTACCATTGAAGTACTTTGTAATTATGGTTAAGAAAACCGTGATATTGAAAAAAGCCCATGTAGACATCATTGTATGGTACTGTCATTAACTATGACCAACATGGCATTTTTACGTGAACTGCATAGTTTTCCTTTTTTCTTTCCCCCCAGGCACTTGATGTATGGGCTCTGGGAATAACTCTGTACTGCTTTGTGTTTGGGAAGGCAAGTCACTGGTAAAAGATTACCCATTTCATTATAGAGGGAGTGCAGCTTGACTGCACAGCTCTAATTGTCTCAGTTTTTCAGTCCTTTGATTACATTTCAAACGCTAATACCACTGATTTCAAGCACTCCTACCATGCACTCTAACAGGATATTTCTGTATCTCCCTTGTGTCTGCAGTGCCCGTTTATAGATGAGAACATTCTGGTCCTGCACAATCAGATCAGGACCAAGCCTGTGGGTTTCCCAGACACGTAAGCTACTGAACGCATCTGGAATCTCCATATGACCCTTCATCAAGGATTTGGAGCAGTTTGGTTTTTGTCACCTCCTGTCTTTTTTGATGGTGGCACATAACCTGAAATTATCCTCTTTTTCCCAGGCCAGTTATCAGTGGCAGTCTCAAGGGGTTGATATTAAGGATGCTTAATAAGGACCCAAATATGAGGATTACAATTCCTGAAATCAAGGTCTGACAGGACTGATATTGCTGCATGAGCTGCAATATATAACATTTTGTTGTGTATTGTCTAGAACTGACTGATTATTAAATGTCTGAACCTCGGCTGGACATTTAGAGCCATCAAAGTTGTATTGCAGAACGATCCATAAGCTAATCTGTAGTTATTTACTTAAAAAGGTCTAAGAAACAATGTAATGTTAATTTAGATTATTCGGTTGATTATAAATGTTTCTGAAGGTATGAATTGAAAGGCAAATAATTCCTCTATACTACGATAGCCAACTTCACTAGGGCTGCACGATAAAAAAAATCCATTAAAACTATCATAAAGTGAATTTTTTGCTAGAAATATTCTGATATTTATAAAGCAAACAAGGAGTTTTTACCCAAAATAAGCTAAAGCCAAATATAATTTATCTACAACTAGAGTACATCGAATAAGGTGGTGCTGATGCCACTAGTTCTGCCAATAAATCACATGCTTTTGATCAATATCATCTTTATGTAACCCAAAATATTTCCATACAATGAAAGGTGAATGGATTATAGTGACCAGTTCTTGTTCCCCTTTTTCCTGTCCACTAATTTCTCACAAAATATGAGTGATTTAAATTGCACGGATGAAAATTTTTATGCTTAGCTCGGACAGCGCGTGCAGAACTCATGCAAAAGCATTGGTGGTAAATTTTGGTAAAGTGGTGATAAAGACTTTCAAAACACATTTTTTAACAATTGAAAAGGAATAATCATTAAAATTGCAAAGTTTGCTAAGTTTTGTTTCCTATGACAGAATAAAAATGTTTTAGTGAAACTTAACCCCCCATAATCGCTGCATAATGAAGGTATGAAAAAGCCTGATATCAGTCCAGCTGAATGTTGCAGTCCATTCAGTGTGAGAACTGCATATGCACATCATGCAATGTTGGTATTAATATCGCACATCGCCCAACCCTCAATGACACATTAGCACATTATGTGATAGATGTTCATCTTAAAGTTGTAACTTGTCCCCATTGACAATATTCCATAATCCACCACATTATCCACATAATGTCATTTTGTACTCTCTCCTGGCAGCTGTACCCATGGGTGACCAGAAATGAAACAGATCCCCTCCCGCTGGAGGAGGACCACTGCACCATTGTGGAGGTGACGGAGGAGGAGGTGCAGAACTCTGTGAAGCTCATCCCCAGCCTGTCTGCTATGGTGGGACAACAATGCAGCTTTACCACTGGCATAAGCTACAAGTTATAAGTGTGAACTGTCTCAATAAAACACTAACAGTAGCGTTGGAAGTTAATTATTGCAGTGAATCAGGCAGTAAGTTATTTTTATCAATTGCAAGTTTTTGTAATGATTAGACTGGAATGATGATGATAATCTTTGTCATTATAATATACATTGAAAATGACTTTTTAGTCTTATCAAAAGTTATGGAGGATGCTTCCTGATTGCCATTCCCCTGTGTGTCACTTTCACTCTGGTCTCCCCGAAATTTTCTCTGCTTCTGCCAGATCATGCAGATTCTTTTCCATACAGATCTTGGTCAAAGCCATGCTGAGGAAGCGTTCCTTCAGCAACCCCTACAAGAACCTTGGGAGAAGGATGAGATCCATGTCTGCTCCCGGGAACCTGCTTGCGTAAGTATAGACTTATGGTACACAATTCCTACTCCAAGCAGCAAACTTAAATTAGAGACACTTCCGCTTTCCCATAGCTCCACTGAGGACCTGAGGAGAATCATCCTTCTCCTCCATGATTACCATGAAGCTACCTGTGGTGACCTGTACATTTGTAATTTGTGAGGTGTAGATTCTACCCTCTACTGGTCAAAATACTTGCACAGCTGTACCTATATGGATCTTGAAATATAAATTTGGGTTTTTTTTCTAGTTGCACAAAGATGGATTATTACACAAAATCATCTTGCTTTGGTAGAACTCCAAACTTCCCCTTTCCCTACTTATTTTATAATTTTTATAGTGCCTATTTCTATTAGTGCTTTTCCTAATACAGTTACCCAAAATTTAATTTCTAAATAATATTAAGTATGGTTGGCTGCCATAACACAGTCCGTCCTGAAGTGTGGCGCTAGCTGGGGAGTCTTGAGAGAATCATGCTTGATACATTGCCTGATATAGCCTGCTGCCCACAGGGCAGAAAGAAGTGGGTGTTTCATAGCTGTAATCCCATGGCAGCATGCTGTGTGTGGGGAAAAAAAGCAAGATTACAGAAAAGGTCAGAAAAACAGAAACTTCTGTGGTATGTGCTGGAGAAAAATATCCTGTTTGTTTCATGAGACAAGCTTATGCTTGTGCCACATCTGCTGTATGAGTTCCATAGAGGGATCCTGGGGTGACCTGCCTGCATGTCTCTCTCTCCTTCATTTGCAGAGACACACGACTGTTGCGTTCCTCCTCGAAACTCCATCCCTCACTAAGGTGACTAGATGTGTTGCCAGTAGCCCATTCAGCTGGGAGGTAGAGTAAATGTGTAGCTGTCATGCCTTCTGTGGAGAACAGGTTAGGCATTGGGGTTTTGGCTGAATGAGAGAGTGTGTAATGTGCAGTATGGACACATTGGGGACACCGACAGGTATAGAGGTAGACCAGGCATTTAGTCAGGGAGGCTCGGTGGACCATGGATTACTGTGAGGATTGCAGATATGTATTCTGCTTCTCTTTCTGCCCCAACAGAGCCAGCAGTGTGAACAGTGGTGGGAGCAGGGAGGGGGAGCTGGAGGAACTTCAAGAAGATGAGCCCACATCCTGAAGATCTTCTCCTGTTCTCAAAGATCTCCTCATTTCTCATCTCATATTTAAATATTGCATATTTAAGTATATTAACACTGCATAATGGTCTTGACATTCTGTTACTATAATTTTTCATACTCACTGATCTAGGGATCCATAACTGAACTGTTTATCAGCTGCATTCATCTAACTGTGAAAAAGAGTACAGTATGGTAGCTATATAGTGATTTAAAGGCGTTTTTAGTGAACATCTTTGCAAGGTGTGTATGTGTATATGTGTCTGTAAATCTTTGATATCTTAATTGATACCTGCTAGTTCTCTAATTTAGTTTATTTAGTCATGTACAAATCAATAAAGTTAAGCTTTCTTTTGTGGACCTGAGTTCTGTTTTATCTCCTTTGTGCCATATGATGTATACTATAAAAGCATATTTACAATTGTCATTTTTGAAACACGATAGGACTACTTTTGTATTATCTGTGTTTGTCTCACCGTGTTCTTTTTTGTTACAGATAGGACCCAAAAATAAACTGAGACCTGAAGTTTCAGGCTCTCAGGTGCCAACATTGGAGTACATTTAAATTTAACTTACCCTTGAATTATGAGGTAACTCAATAATTATCTCAATAAAACTAAAACAGCTGTGAATGATATATATGGTGCTCTAGGACTGAAGGGGCTGACCCCTTGTCCTGATAGTTTCTATAACTGGTGGATATTAGGACACATTAGCACATTCTGCTCGATGGATTACATAGGGTGTAGGAATAGTGTAAGGGGGGTGTGGAACCATACTGATGCAATGGCATTGTGACAGTTGTACTTTCTTCCTGCAGTCAAATTCTGTGCTGGGTTGAGGTCTGGGTTCCTAGCATGCTACTCAAACTAATATTCCCATTGTTTTTTTGGGCATGCTTAATAATATTGCATATTATCTTGCTTGATGTGTTAGAAAGTGTAAACTGCATCCATGATGGGATGCATCTAGTCATTTTTAATGTCTGGATACACTGTGGAATGCAGCATATGTCATTTCATATGGAGAGACTCAATAGGTGCCCAGAAAACATTTTCCACACAACCACACTACCTTCACAAGCCTGTGAATTGAGACCAGGCATATGGAAACATGGGATCATGCTGTTTATGGCAAATCTATCTCTATCCTTCAGCATGAAACAACAGGAACTGGGATTCATCAGACGAGTCAATGTTTTTCCACCAAAATACCTGCCCACTCAAGCCACTTCTCATTTGGATTGGAGCTCCGTTGTCATACTGCTGCAGTTTTCTTGACAGACCACAGTGACAGGGAGGAGATGTATGTTCTGAGATGCTCCTTTTGCACACAGTTGTTCTATTTCCCTTTTATGTACTCACTTGATATCCCTTTTTCATCTTAAATGATTTTTTTGAAGCAGTTTAACATGAAGAGGGTGATGGACCTAATGATCATCTACTGTAATAATATTTGTAATTGATGTGTAAACCCTCTCTTTGATGGTTTAATGATTTACAGTTGTCTCAAAAATTCATTATGTCTAATATAACATAGCTAAATATCTCATGCATAACGTGAGGTAAGACTACCAAGCTCTGAGAATGCACACATCACCAGCTGATCAAAAGGTCCACTTTTCTCCCCCATGGAATTCCTGACCACAGCTCCTCTGGGTTTCAAAGCTTTATTTATTCCATAACAATAAATGTAAACATCTATCCATGTAGCCATATTCTTTAACTGATTATTGAAGGCAGGGTCATAAAGAGCCTGTTGTCTTTAAAGGGCACCAGAATGCATCATAACTAGGGGGTCTGGAACCTATTCCAGGCAGCATAGGACATGTACACCCTGACTGGAGGCATGTCCATTCAGACCACACATACATACACTATGGGTTATTTAGAGATGCTAATTACCTGATTGCACATGTTTGGACTGGGTGAGACTATGTGACACAGGAGGAACATGCTACCTCCTAAAAGAGATGCTAACAGAGAGATAGACATGCTGACTCCATAGAGGGCAAAGGTGGGATTGATGTCAGATATGTAGCTTAACAGTAACCATCCATCCACCCTTCCATCCATCCATCCATCCATCCATCCATCCATCATCTAAGCACTTATCATGGTCAGGATCACAGGATATTATAATTTATAATACATGCATAGTGTATACTGTACCTTTATGTGCATATCTCAGCAGCCCTGCAA